TCTTGGGAGGCTGTAAACAGGCAAATCACTACTAGTCCGACCTAGCAGTGAGACCCTGAACACCCTGTAGACCCTACTCTTCCCTAAAAATAAAATAAAATAAAAATAAATAAATTAGACAAATTGAAAACAATGTGGAATACATTATCAAAATTCATCATCGTGTCCCAATTATTTGATCATACTATACCACTATGTCCCTAAGCAGATTTGCGCCAATAATTTATTATTATTAATTCTTTTACATAAATGACAGCTATTTACATCTATTTTATCTGCATTGTAGAAACACGAGGTAATGCTGCTCCACTGCCCATCTTTTCCCATATTGGTTGTTCGATGTGAGTCATATTGTGCTTGTATTATGAAAATTGTCAAAACCTACACATCAGTTATTTTTATATATTCAGAGAGCTCACCATAAGCATTTGTCAACATGACATTGACAACCTGTAGAGTTCATCCTGTAAACCAAACTGGAATCTCCACAGAGGAACAGACTACAATGAGCTGAAGAGATCTTTTCTCTTGACCCAGAATTGAGCCTTTCAGTAGAAATTAAGTGCGCAGAAAAATAGGCAAACGCTAAAAGAGAAGTGTATTACAAATAATGAAGGCAGAGATTTGACAGGGATTGTGAAGGAGGATAAGGGAGACTTAGATGCTAGTGACCTGCTTTTAGTAATGTCTACTAAATCTCTCACAGAAGTGATTAACTCTGATTATTAATGTTAACTAGATTCTCATAAGTGTACTATTTGAAGGGACTGTGCTCCTTATGGGGACGTGTTTCAGACGGACGGCTAGATAGACAGAAATGGCTCACAGTCATGCAACTTGCTCAAGGAGATAATAAAGTAGGTGATTTCACTAAGTAAAACAGACCCAACCCACCTACAAAATTATAAGTGAGTTAAATGACTGTAAGTAGAGCAGATAAAACTCTAGCTACTGCAGTCCCCTAATTCCCCCACACACGGATAGGGTCAGCATTCTTCTGTTTTGCTCCTATCTTCCTTGTTTACTTATATGCAAAACAACAATATTTGCACAAACAGTAGCTCAGTGCATTTAGCACAAGTATTCCAAGAAGCGGATATGCATTGAATAGTTACTACTCCCTCAAGTTCTTAACCTAATTAGAGGTGACTGACTTCTCGATAATCTTCTGCACAATGGGAACAGGAGCATCAGGTTAGAGATTCCACCCTAGTTCTCTAACTCTGTGCCAGCAGGAGTTGGGAAAGCTGCGAACTTTTACTCAGGGCCAGAGAGAAGGTGGAAGGGCTCCCTTTTGCTAAGGGCACTGTGGGTGGCAGATCACGGAGTGGCATCATCACTGAACAAGGCCTTTTCTCTTTGGTACTGGGCAATGAACTCAGCACCTTGTGCTTGCCAGGCAGGAGCTCTGTCGCTGAGCTATATCCCCAGCCATGAGCAAGGCCTCTTGAGTCTCCATTTACATTCAGCAAGTGCTTCAGACCTGAAGTATTCTGCCTGTGGTACGCAGGAGCGATGCCACACCTCCATCTGCAAATGATGCATTTTTTCGAGATGTGTCACCCAAGGCCAACAATGTTCCTATTTCATTGACCAACATTAAAAAAAAAAAATGAGAATCAAAAACAAACTCCCTTTCCTTCTCTGTGAACACATTCCTCCAGGAAAAGAGACCCCAGCTCTTCCAGTTCCCCACACCTTAGTACTCTTTCTTAGATTTCTTATGTACTTCAAATACGAGAAAAAGGGAAAACACAGCTCATGCTTCAAGCCACCTCCAAAGGAGAAATGTAGGAGAAATTGTATCACAAACACAAATGATCCAGGGACTGGTTTCACAATTTTGTGTTCAGTACACTTAGCTGTGCAAATGCCTTGGAGTTGGGATGCTGCCTGTGGGCCGAGATGAGGAGGGACAGAGCTATGGGGCGAGAGAGGCGGAGGTGGGCTGGGCCTGGCTAGGAGGGGTGGGGCCTGGCCTGGCTGGCAGGGGCGGGTAATCTCTGCCTGGTCTCCCTAGCTCCTGTTTCTCCCGTGGCTGACCTCATTCCCGCTTCAGTCCCTGCCACAGACCCATCATTGCCACTAATTCCCAGAATCAAGACCTGCAACCCAAATAGCAGGAGCTAGGCAGGTGCTTGGAGCGCTGAGCTATTTTGGCAGCACATATACTCAAATTGGAACAGTGCAGAGGTTAGCATGGCCCCTGTGCAAGGGCAACATGCGAAGCGTTCCGTATCTAAAAAGTCAAATCAAATCAAACAAAATAGTAGGAACGATTATTGAAAACATCTCACACATTTTTCTCACAGATGAGTCTTGTAAGCAAACAAAAATTATGATTTAAAATCAAAAGGTTAAAGACCCATTTTATCAAATATTCTGGTTGAACAATGTCCTCAGATCACACCACATGAACACTATCTGTCATAAGCCTTGCAGACAGTTTCTGCTTTGATATGTGCCAAAAATTAGTTGAACTGGTATTCAAAATGCCTCTATTTTAAACTAAAATGTCATGAAGCATTAAAATGAGGAATTTTATAAAATAAATAAGGTTGTCTTTGTGTTCTGTATTTCTCTAGAGCAATGTGTAGCTTTACATATAAGACTTCTTTTATAGGCTTTCATGAAAAGCAAAAAAAAAAGTTCAGTTTTGAGTTATGTTTAGCATCAAATACTAGTTTCACTGTCTTTGATTCATAGCAGCTAGGATGTTCCGTAATTTTACAGTTTTATTGATTATAATTTAACAGTAAATGTGCTAGTTGAACTTTGCCAAGCTAGTGTGTTGTACCTGGGAGCTGCTCTTCTTAGACAGCCCTATGCCGGACCTCGCAACGTTTTTATAGTATTAAAAAAAGTAAGCCTGTTCTTGACTAAAATGCAGGCCTTCCTTAACTCACTTCACACAGTAGTTGCCATGCAAGGAACTTGTTGTTTTCTGATTTTCAAACAAAATGTATGGTGTTTGATATTGAGGCTCGTTTTTGGTCATTTCCAGAGGGGTACCCAGACTTTGAAATGGCCCCCCAACTTGCCAATATTTCTTCACTTCTTTTTAAGAGCGAAACATAAGATGCACGTTTCTGGCATGCTGACAAGAGACTTTCACCTGATGTGACGCATTCCCCTGGCCAGGCCTGCGTCCTCTCCTTAAAAAGGCTCCTAGATTGGACTCCAGTCAAGCAAGGTCGGGGGTGTACGCATCTCTGTTCTCATGACTATAAGCCCCTAGAGGTGCCTGGAGGAACTAAGAACTGATACTTATTTGTCCCAGAAATACAGGGCCCTAAACTTTGAAATATTTCAACAGAAAACAAAAAAATATGGCTACTGGATCGAATCTGTCATGTACTTAAAAATCAACACAATGTTGAATCAGTCCTACAATCTATATAGTTTATAGTAATCCACTTGGCAGACGTATCTCAGATTAATAATGTGCACAATTGAGGTTTCTTCTAAATAGCTGAGAATTACAGATTACCAAAGAGGACTTTTTTTTTTTTTTCACTAGTTATGGTCACTTTTTTCTCAGGCTGTCACAGAGCAAATTGGTCAAGCAATGGCTGTGACTCATCCACATGGCTGACACTGACAAAAGATCTATCTACAAACTGCTGTACAGTGTTTCAGGGTAAGTCCTGAGGGGATTTGACTGACCTTGTCAGATACAGAAGTTACAGTTTTTGTTATACAGGTCTTGTTTTATCTTGGTCTTAATGATCCAGTAGAAAAGTTTAAAATCGAGGTATAAAAAATAAAGCCTTATTAATATGCTGAGCTGTAAAAGGCTCAAGTCAACAACTTCTGACACTACCAGTCTTTGGGATAACCCACTACTATTATAGACTACTGGACTATATGGGATTACTCTGCTGAATTCATGCACCTACAATATATGAAAGGCAATGGAACACACGTCTCTTACAAAAGTAAACAAAAGAGGGGATATAAATGGACCATTTTATAGTGGAATATATATATCTGCATATACAAAATAGCATAAATACACAGCTACTGTCTCTTAGATCAATGAGCAGAAGATTTTGAACTAATAGTGCTTAGATAAAATATCATGTCTGCGTCTTGTACGAGGAATAACTACCACAAAGGCAACAATATGCAACGTATTAATTATTGTAACTGTATCTCATTGCTACTTCTTTCTCAAAAAATTATTAAAATATAAAAAAGTTATGGTCACTTCTTTGATAATGAAATTGATAATAACTCAGCAACTGGCCTTTGAAAATAAATTTGCTATCTCAGTTGTCCTATGAGTTATTCTGAATATTTAATTCTTCAGCTTGTGGTGATATGCTATAATTTTGGGAAGAGATGCATTTTTATTGGACATATTTTTAAACTTTTGGTTAAATCTCATCACTTTTCTAGTTGGTGTGGCGTTATGGGGATTGGCCTTTGGATGTATTTGGAAGGGCAGAGGATGGGGTGCAACACTGACATCAAAGTCACTCTCCTACGCATAACTGTTTAAAAATTATTTTAGGAGTTGTAGCCACCAGGCATTTGGGCCCCAGAGCTACAGACCCAATATGCATTTTTCCTACTAAAGCAAGCCCTTGAAAGTCTGCCCCTAGCCGAAGGGCTGGGAACATTTCTGTTGCTCTTCTTTTCTGTGACATACGGTACAAGGGTTGGCTCTGGTTGGGTCCACCTGCCAGCGGAGTTTAAAGTTTCTGCGGCTCTGAGAAGCACAAGGATTTGGATCAAACGGGCCAAAAGGAAGGAAGAGCGTTTCTGCTCCATCGAGGAGGCCGTGCGTGGAGATCCTGCTAAGCCAGCTCCCTTCTGCAGCGTCCACGTCGCACAGAAACACGCCAGACCGCCCTCCTCTCACCCCGACAATCCAGGATGTTCCGAAGCTCGGAGACCTGAGGCTGGAAAACGAAGCGACCCGGGAGCGCGGCCCAGGCGGACTCCGCTGGACAGGGCCGGTGGGCTGGCAGAGAACGCCTCGGGCGTGTGAACGCACGGTTCCAGAACGTGAATTTACCCCCCTAGAACTACAGGCGACCTCGCGTCCCCCCTTTCCCTTGGGTCCTTAGTACTGGCGCTGTCACCTCTGCAGCACCAGCTTGGCCGTGCGGTGGGGTGGCCGGAGGGACGCGGGCGAGGCGGCCTGGACCAGCCGGGAAGCGCCGGCGCCGCCCCGAGGCGGGGGCTGCGCGCCATGGGTCGGCCGGGGCGCTCGGCCCGCGAAGGCTAGAGCCGGCGCCGGGCACCCGAGCTGCGCGGGCCTCCAGGCCGGGGCGGCTCGGCCTCCACCGCCTCCCGGCGCCCGCATCCCCGCGGCCGAAGAGCCATGGAAGACGGCCCGCTCCCGGACCTCAGGGACATCGAGCTGAAGCTGGGGCGCAAAGTGCCCGAGAGCCTGGCGCGCTCGCTCCGCGGGGAGGAGCCGGGGGCCGGGCCCGGGAACCCCCGCACGGGCGGCTGCGGCAGGAGCGGCGGCTGCGCCCCCGCGCCCGCGCCCTCCGCACCCGCCGGCTCCCCGCGGCGGAGCCCCTCGGGCGCCCTGGAGCGGCTGGAAACCAAGCTCCGGCTTCTCCGGCAGGAGATGGTGAGTGCCGGCAGGGGCGCGGGCGGCGCGGGGCGCGCGGGTCTCCAGCTGCGGGGCGCGGAGGTCCGGAGGCAGCTGCTGCAAAGCCGGTTCTCCAGGACTGTGCTCGGCCCGGTTCGCTAGGAGCGGCAGACGGCTCTCTCCGCCAGCTGCGGGCCGGGAGGTCTGGGGTCTGCGGCTGAGGTTCTGCGCAAGGCCCGGGCCCGCCGCGCAAAGCTTGCACTTTCCGGGGGTCCGAAGGCGGCTCCGCGCGCTCCTCCTGCGGAAATGCTTCCTGGGGAGCGGAGCGGGCGGCGGGATCCGGAGCCCCCAGACCAGCTCTGGCCCCACCCCACCCCCGCCCCGCCGGTGTGCAGCAGCCGCGGCTGTTCCGGGCCCGGCCGAGCGGATTTCCCGCAGCTGGTTCTGAGAACAAGCCCCCACGCCGGCCTCGGCGCGCTTGGGAGGAGCTGCTGGGCGGACTGGGTGCGGGAGAGCAGGTGTGCGCCCCGCTCTGGTGCCTGCTCTCTGCACCGCAGTTAGCCTCCCTGCAGGCTGCGCAGGTTCGCGTGCGCGGGTACCCGGGCCAGGGGGAAGACTGACAGCCCGTGCCTCTCATTCTGGATATCTTTAGACCAAAACCTTTATTTTTGGACTTAAGTTCTTGGGCGAGTAGCCCCGCCTCTGTGGACTTCACGTTAGTTTTATAGCAGTGAGCAGTGGAAGGGCATTTTCTCTTCCTACGTCCCGTGGAGAAAATGACCACGGATCACATCATCGTCTACCACTGTGAGGAGGCGGAGGATTTCCACGGTGGCCCGCGGGCACGCAGCGTGTGTGCGTAAGGATTTGCTACAAAATGACTTGGTTTACTAGTGATTTTTAAAGTTTCCCCACTCTTTTCTTTATATACTTGGAAGAGCCCAGGAGAGAAGAAATGACAAATATAAAGTGATCCTGGCAAATATTGTAGTGCCATACGTCACACCTCAGAGGTCATATCTTATGTTAGAACGTTAGGATGTCACTCTACAAATGTCTCTTTGGATTTTTCAGGCTGGCCTATGTAAGAACTTTGTTTTTATGTCATAAATATCCACTTTCTTCCCACTAAGAATGTTCTAGATATTGAAAATGAATATATGTCAATATATATTTATGTACAGTGTGTGCTGCAAATGATTTTACCACTATAGTTATGTTTTGCTGTCTAAACACAAGTATACAAGTTATGTATATTCGTCATTCAATAAGCACTTATTAAGCATTTACTATATTCTGATATTTATCTGATTGCTGAGAATACAAAACGAAAAAATCAAGAAGCTTGTCATTTGTTATCCACACTATATCAAGCCAAGAATGTTGAAGAGCTCCATAGGGTAAGGGAAAAATTGGGTCATTTTCAATAAAGACTATCTTATAGATACTGATTTTTCATAATGAAAATTTCAGTTGATAAACATTTCTTCAAACCAGATCTTGCCATTTATAATCATTCCTATTATTTTTTAAAACCGTAACAGTAACAGCAGATTGCAAAATCCGCTATTCATCATATTTTCTTTGCGAATCCTCCGTTCTATACATTAAGAATAATTTACATCAGACCAATTTTTTTCTCTAACTTTGCACTCTGTTAAGGCTTTCCATGAAGCAAATGTTCCACCCTGGTTATGGGAGTTTAGAAGGAAAGATTGAAAATAGTCAGGTCCCCTGCCAAAGACCAGTCACCCTGCTTTATATAACTCTTCTGAATAATCAAAGGCCCAGCTTTAGCACCACTGCAAAGCAACAGATTTGTTTTTATGGGGATTGGCAATTTTTGTTGTAGACACTCAACAAACACACTTATGCAGGCCTTCCGGTTGCCCCGCAAAAGAATTTTAACAGATTACCCTTCCGGATGGGTTGGATTTAGCAGGCTTTGAGCCTGCCCTCAGAACTCTTTCCTAAGAAATACCTTAGCTATGCACAGCGCCGTCTAGAGGCCGCAGGAAGGAGGCCTCTTCTCCTATCTGAAAGGTTGCAGAACCAGGGATGCCATAGAGCACACACTTGCGGGGAGGGTAGCTCAGCGCTTAAGGCTGAATACTCACATGGATTTCACCATTATTCTTCTCCTTCTACTGTCTTTAGGGATACCCAATTCGTGTCTGTAATTGTTACCGTTACTGCTCTTTAAGATCTGTGGGATGAGTTATAAAACAGGCAATTTAAAAGCGAGATTTAAGAATGATAAGAAACCTCTATGGTTCAACTTTCTAGTGGTGAAAACTTACAGCAACTCAGATAGCATTACCAGTAAGAAAAGGAAAATACTAGACAACAGCTTTTATGGGCAGGGTAGTTTTCAGCATGTTTTGGGATGGAACAAATTTTCCCCTTGTGAAATTTGTTTGTTTTCTTTATTTAGGAGTAAGGAAATTTGACAACACGATAAACAAAGTTAAATCTAAGGATACACATGGGAAATTTATTATGAAATTCAAGATAAGTATTGTGCCTTTTGTTTGGCCTGCCCACTAATTGCTCAGTTCACAGAGGATGTTATTGTCTGTCTCATCATCTGAGCCTAAGGTTAGACTAGGAAGAGGAGGAGTTTTGTCTGTGTTTTCAAATGAGGTCCTTGTGTCACAGAAGTTGGCTGGGAGCAGGCCAAATTCACATGGCTCATGAGGTAACAGAACCATGACTTGGACTCATTTTCTCCCACTCTATGCTCTGCTTTTCTTCCATCCCTGTGCATATTACAGTAATTTTGAAGCACAGTGTAGTTCTTACATCTCTGTGATATTGCACGGCTCTGTGGCTTCTGAGGAGTCACAAACACAAGTCCTGAGACATTGCTTTGGGTGTGGAGACATTGCTTTGAGTGTGGACTCCTCCAGACTGGCTTTGAAAATTGTTCTTAAGAGTGGCACTTTATTGATAATTAAATGTTACTATAAGCTTTATAACATCTCATAATATAGAAAATCTTTTCTCTGTGAATGCCAATAATCTCTATCAAAACCTGCCTTGGCATTTACTAATAAATATTGTATCTTCTTTACAAGCTATTGAGAAGGTTTATGTGTTATTTAGTATGCATATGCCATACTTCTAGTTGGAGAGTGAAAATTATTTTGATCAACTTACTTTGGAGAAAATTTGAAATACACAAGATAGTGATGATTATCACTAAAGAATAGGAAACTGACATTAACAGGGTCCTGAATGCATGATCCCAGTTGAGCCTTCGTAGACAATTAGCATTCGGAAAATCAAGGCACAGTTTGGAATGGAGAAAACACTCCGTGTGGTGCCCCATTCTGAATTCCAGTGAGTTCTATGACATTCTAATGGCACCTTACCAATCTTTGCGTAGTGAAAAGCCAGTGTGAAAATTGGCTCAAAAATACAGAAATACTTGATTTCTGTATGTTGAGCAGTGGTGTAGACAGCAGTGGAGTAGGAGGAGCATCGAGTAAATTATGTATTCCTTCTTACTCTTAGTGCAGTACCCCACCTGGTTACGCATCTTTGGTCTTCATGGTGTTCTAAGCAACAACTAGAATTAGATGCACAAATGCACATATGCAGAGCAAATGTGTAAATGATAGCAGAACCCAAGTCAATAGTTAAAAGTTTTTGAGAATGGTAAATTTAGCTCTGATTTTTAGCAACACTTTCTCTTGTTGAGCTGTTGTCTTCTCCCCATTTTCAGTGGCTCACTCACTTTTGTAATGAAAAGAATCATTTTAAATTCTCTAAAACAAGTTAGTAAGTTCATTAAATTAACTCTGGAGTTGCTTTGCACACGCTGTAGTGTAGGCACGGAGATGTTTATCCTTGGGATCCCTTTAGGTAGAAGCTTGAAACTCGAAGGCATCTTCCTTGATGAGTTCCAAAAGGCAGTTTGGAAGATAATATAGGAATATTATTTGACCAGAGAAAGATTGCAAACTACCATCTCAGCAGGTTCCTGATGTCTTGTAGAGATTAGCTACAAGAGCTGAGCCAGACATGGCTGAGGATATAACTAGCAAAATGCACCTTGTCCAGGAAATTGAAAGTGCAGGTAATTATGCAAAATAAGGCCTTAATTCTGGGGATAAAGACTTCAAGGGAATGAGGAAGCTTAGCTCTTAACAGTGGTTTCTCTTGTCTTTTGGCCCATGGAATGTTAATAAACTTACTTAATCTAATAAATAAATCTTGTTGAAACATATTTCCATAATCAGTGGTTCACAGGCAGTAATGACATTCTGATGGAAAGATAGTTTGTGAGATTTACACGTGGAAGCAACAGGCCTTCTCACGATGTAAGAGCCTCTCCCAGTGACTAGGAACACATTCTGAAACTTGGTCCACATGGGAAGAACTGTCTCTGACAAAAGATTTACCTTCCATTCGGGCTACACAAGCAAGTCATACTCCCAGATCAGAAAGATTCCATATTGGGTGGGAATCTCTAAACTAAAGAAATTGATTTCTTTGATTGCCTGAAAATATGTATTTACCTTCCATTGTAGTGACGAAGTTCACCTTCAGTTGTATTGATGAGTCATGAGATTTTTCCATATATTAAAATGTAGTTAAAATGCTACTTCTTACGCTGGGACTCTGACAGATGTCTCTGGGGTCCTGACTTCGTTTTCCTTTCAAAACTATTCCTGCGCTACTCAAACAGCAGCTGGCTGTTTGTTTGGTTTGGTTTGGTTTGTTGGGTAGGATTTCAGGCAAGTGTAGAGTAGTTCAGGGTACAAATTAATAGAACTTTGCTGGCCATCATGCCCGAGCATCTGTGGAGGTGTTCAGCTTGTCTTCCTGGGCAGAAGGGCCTGTCCAGTGCTCAGTGGCCCTCACTCCAATCTTCAGTGACTAGAAGGTGGCATCAGGAAGCCATCTTACCACCCTGGCACTAGGCCTTCCTGTAACAAGGGAGTAGAAACAGCTCCATTAAGGCAGTATAAAAATTCCATAAAGTGTTATAACAAAGCCACTGTGAGGTAAGCTTTTAAAAATAGTAAGGGAAG